CTTAGAACAGCATCTTTAATACGATGACAGAAAATAACCACCAATCTAGAATTCCATACACTATGAAAATATCTTTCAAGGCTGAAGGTTAAACAGAAACACTAGCATACCTACCTTTTTTTTTTTTTTTTTTTTGCAGTTTTTGGCTGGGGCTGGGTTTAAACTTGCCACCTCCGGCATATGGAGCTGGTGCCCTACCCCTTTGAGCCACAGGAGCCACCCCCAAATGCAAATCTATTTTATAATCTCTTTAAGTTATAAGCACTTAACTTATGCCCTTTCCAGTTTCAAATTTCCCCTGCATGAGTTCCTTTATTAATTCAGAATGTGAACCACTGCTTCATTCTGGTATATATAATTCACTAGTCCAAGTAAAACAATTTCCAATCATAAATCAATCCCTTGTCTTAAAATTAAATTTCTGCAAAAGTTTACTCCATATATAAAATCAGTAATGTCTTAAACATTTTTTGGAAAGTCATTCCAAGCAAAAAATAGAACTTTAGACTGACTTTTTCATTGTTTTTTGTTTTGTTTTGTTTTGTTCGAGACAAAGTCTCACTTGTCACCTTTGGTAGAATGTAGTGGCATCATAACTCACAGCAAACGCAAATGCTTGGGCTCACAAGATCCTCTTGCTTCAGCCTCCCTAGTAGCTGGGACTACAGGCATATACCACAACACCCAGCTACTTTTTTTTTTTTTTTTAAAGAGGTAGAGTCTTTCTCTTGCTCAGGCTGGTATCCAACTCCTGGGCTCAAGCAATCTATGAAACTCAGCCTCCCAGAATGCTAGGATTACAAGTGTAAGCCACCGAGCCAGGCCTAGACCAACTTAGTATTAGGAGCATGGGAAGCTTTCCTTAGCATGTATGTGTCAATGCCCCATCCATGAATGGTTGGTTACCAATCACAGAATTTTCACCACCTAAAGGAAACAATCCCTAGCATAAACAATAGCAATTCCTTTCTTGTCATTTAAAAATCTTAAGACTATGTCTTAAAACTACGCAATGTCCAGAAAAAAAAAAAATGTGTCCTCCAAGTAGCTAGGCCAGAACAATCAAACTAAAACTACATTAAAAGCCATGTACTTGGCACCTCTATGTTAATGCTTTATCAATGCTTTTTCAAATGAAGCATTACACCAAAAAGAGGATCACACTAGCATCCTGATTCCATAGCAGCCAAATGAAGA